GTAGAATTGTACAGTAAGAAGTTATTTCCCTTAACCAGGAAATTAACGTTCTTAGAATTGACAGACAGTTGACCCTGAGTGGTCAGCTAAATATCTACAGCGGATCTAAAATATGAATAGTTAATTATAACTAGTTATGGTTAATTATTCATATTTCCTGTCGTTGAGCTAAAATTCGCTACACTCATCACACTGCAGTCACACATATGTCAGTGCTATCCACAATCAGTACCATAAAACCCTTAATTCAGACTGACAACATGGGATAATGTACAGTTAGCTGGTCATTAAATTAAATTAAAACAAAATAAACCCTGACAGGGTAACTGGGAAATGATCAAATAAAATAAAATGAACAATTTCATAAAGTTTTGGTAGAATTTGACAAAACTTTTAGCCCATACTAATCCCGGTATGAGTCTCAGCCGACAATATGTGCATTGAATAGATAGGCTCGTCAAGACAGGTATTTCTAAGCAAAATAATGCAATTTAATAATAGGGCCTTTCGCACCACAGGAACCTTTTCATAGTACCAGAACTAATTGTGGAACTACCCACTTTTCGGCGTGTTCGCACCGCTGGAACTGGGAGCGATTTTAGTACCGGACTGCCTTTTTCGAGAACCAAATTAGCTGCTACTCCGGAGCAGGGTCTAACCAGCACAACTGGTACTAATCGTGACGTAAGTAGACATTGATTGGCCAAACGCGTATGAAAACGCCCTCACCCGCCATGATTTAAAACTCTGTGTAAACATACTGTAAGCATGTCAACTTATTTCGCAAGTATGGAGAACAGCGATATATGGACGGACGCTGAAGTGCAGGCACTTGTAGCAAATGTAGCACTGCCAGTTGTCATTGGAGATTGTTAGTCCTCCTTTCCGTTCTTTCAATCGCTTTACGTATACGTCGACATTCCATGTCCATTATTGTGAAACCTGCGAGATGCAACAAAAACACCGCTCCGATCACAGCGTCCTCCATCCTCCTGTTGTTAATGTTGTTCTTCTTTGTTTATGTTGAACGCCGCGCACAAATGACGTCGCTGTCGACCGGCTTACGTCACTTCTTAGTACACACTGTCAGTGCGAATGCAACCCTTTAAATAGTACTGGGAAATAGTTCACGCAAAATCGTCCCAGTACTTTAGTACCGTACATTTAGGTCTGGAACTAAAGCGGTGCGAAAGGGCCTATTATACTCCCAATTAGCCGGCATGACATTCATGCAGGACCCGCTCTGCATAGCTGCTGAGCAGATTAGCAGATCTGCAACGGAGCTAATGTAGAATTATTCAGTCTGAAGAGGCATTGTATGCTCGTCAAGGCCAGTTATTAATCCATTCTTTTAAAGAGGCACAAAGAAGTCCACACAAGATCCAAGCAAAGTGACTGAGAGCCCGGAGAAAAACGAGCACGACAACGGAAGACTGAATTAGCCAGAGCGTGTTGTGCTAATCCGTACTGTATAAAATAGAGTCTGCCTTATCAAGATTGGAGATAGGCACTTAGAGTAAAGTAAAATGAGTATCAGGCATGAGTAAGCCTGATTAAGTCAGAATAAGCCTGCATAAGACGAGATGAGATGGGCATGAAGCATCAGAGTGGGCTGAAGGATCAGGGTTGAGACAGGGCAGCATGCATTATGGAGGAGAGAGATCCTTAAGCTCAGTGGATCAGGCCTGTCCTGACAGTGAGAACAGACTCATATACACACACACACACAGCATACACTTAGACACTGTCTGAATATACATGGTTATATAGCCTGGCAGGGATCTCTCTCTCACACACACACAAAGATAGGCAGAATCCTCAAACACTGACTATGACTGCTTACATTTATTCTGAGTGTGGACTGGCATATATGTTGGTTGGAATATACTAAGTCCAACCTGCTGAGAAATAAAGGCAGGTTTCAAATAAGGTCTCTTAAGGCACTACCATATTCTCTTTTCTTTCCTTCTATGATTTTCCTTTTCACACTCTACATTTAAAAACCGCCATCATACACCTACCCATACAAAAGAAAAATCACACATCTCTTTAATATCTCAATTGGGTTTAGTAGACATCAAGAATAATTCTGGGGTATAATAGTAATGCAATTTTAGTCCTGAGAAAAACACACCACTAATTTATCTAGGGATCTCAACAATGTCTCAAGCTGTGCTCAGATTTGCCAAAAGAATGCAATTAAAAGCCACACATTTCAAAATGAACATTTCACATCAAAGTTCAATCATCACACCAAACCAGATATGCTACCCACAACAGTTTTACAGCTCTACACTTACTATATATCAATATTCTCATTCATGTTTATGTCTCCTAGGATTTTTGATACTTTAATGTCCATAAAGTCTTGCGAGCAATGAAGGATAAATGTGGATGAGCAGTGATTTTTTGTAGTTGCTTTATAGTTGGTTAATCATTACAAAACTATAAATTTCCAATTAGCAAGCAAATTATTCTTTAGAAGAAGTTCGAGATGAACCGATTTGCAAAATGTTTGCATTGACAGTGAAAGAAAAATTTTATATAGGAGTAAAACAGTGTCAGCAAACTGTAAGAAAAAAAATGGTTGGAAAAAAGGTACTGGTAATTTTCTGCCAGGGCAAGTTTACAGACATTTCCCTAACCCTAATCCTAAAGAACAACACAATCCAATGCGTAATTTAAAATAGAAGTAAACACAAGTGGAAAAAAACACAAGAAAAAACTTTGAATAAACAGAAAAAACAGAATGAATATCAGCACAGCACATTGTGCCCTATTTTTTATGGATTTTTGCAGTATAACCTGGTGGAACCATAAACAGCACTTCAAACAATTTATGTAATTTATTCAAAAACATAAATGCTAATGTATTTGTCATTTGGCACTTAACTATACTCTTTTTCACTACAAAAAAGCATGTAAAGCAAGTAATGACAGTTAAATATATGAGTAATTTTTCATCAACTGAAATTCATCATCTAAACAAATCTGGTTTGCTAAAATGAATCCAACTTGTCAACACTAAAACAAATTCACTTTAGAAAAAAAAAAACCTCTAACTAAATCTGTGTCCTCTCTTTGAACCTACCTCAGTTTCAGAGACACTTCACACTCCAGAGGTAAGTCTCAGTTATATTTGTATGCCCTGGAACAGACGGAGGTGAAGAAAAGAGGTTACATGACTATAGGTAGTGTGAGATGGCATCATTTGACTTGGACACCATTGAAAGTGGGAATTCATTTTCTCGGTTGTAGTTCATGTCACCACAACTCGCAAGGTCTCTGCACTCCATAAACCTGGAAGTGAGTTCTGTCTCTGGCGAAGTCAGAGAGCTTCTCTACAGCATGAGACTGTTTCCTAGAAGCGAATGTGTCTTTTGGGGGAGTTTCAGCTTTGAACCTGACAGTGCGGATACAATGCAGCTCAGGCCCATGGCTCAGAAAAACAGACCGAAAAGAATTTAGAGCTCATCAGATAATAAACAATACATCAAAGCATCATTGTTCTCTGACACTGCAACACACACACACAAACCTGTGAAGAGTCACATCCAACAGTTTGATCCAAGGTATGAGAGCTCTTGTTGGATTATCTGTATATGAGGTGATCATTACCATTTAGTAATTACCAGTTACACCCACTCTGGGGCTCTTCACCCATCCATGAGCCCACGTAGTGAAGCATCTCATCCACCTCCACAGCTCTCTATATACAAACAATGAGACAAACACACTATTTTACCTAACAGCATCATACATGCTTTCTGCACTACCTCCATTCAACCTAGAGCTCTCTCTCTCTCTATTGTATGTTTTCTGTGTCTGTTCATGTCTAGCAGGTCCTTAATGTTAAACTACATTAAAATTCATTAATTAATGTTAATTTGAATAAAAGTTTATGTGGTTATTGAGAATGAAAGAGTTCAAATCTCACAATCTCTCTTAGTCAAATTAGCTCAGGGAGTCCTAGAGATCTCCTGTAAAATAAATAAATAAATAAATACATAAAAATAAATTAATTCCCACACAATATCTAAAGCAATATCGTGAACCAGTGAATGTAGAGGACAGGTCAGACCACAGAGATTAATTCCTGTTGAAGGCAGTCTAATGTGACCTGGACAATTTAGTGAGGTGTCAATGACGCTTTGCTGTGGGTGAATGTTGATTCTAGTGCTAAGGATGTTTCCCTATTATCTGTAATTTTTTTCTACTTCCAATCCAGTTCTTTAAATTATGCTGTATTGCAAGGCGAGCACTGAGCATTAATATTCCACTTCTTTTTATTACAGTGTTTACAAGGCAGACCTTTACTGATATTCCTCAAACATGCAATTTTTCTTCATCTTCTCGATAATTTTCTGCAATCAATTCAGTTTTGACCCAATTCAAACTTTGTTGTGTAGATTTTAGCCTTTGGCGCTCTATCCATTTTGGCTTTTATGAAAAACATTTTTTATAAACTACAATTTTTTTAAATTCATGTTCAAAAGTCTCCCTTTGCAATTCAGTATGCAAATAACAACAACAACATCATTGCTGTCTGAGATTTTAAATGTATTTGAATCCATTCAAAAAGTCAGACAGAAATGACTTTATTGCATTATTGGCTTACTGAATTGCAAGTTCTCTTTCTTTGCATTTGTTTGGACATTTGATTGATTCATATTTCCATTCTCACATCTCCAAAATAAGCACAACAGACATGTTACGTGATGATTCTCAAACACTGTCAACAGAAAACAAGGCAGATGCTGAACATCACGACAACATCAAAATTATGCAGAAACGAAGTCTAAAACCTAAGCCTACGTACACTATTCACTATTCTTTTCCTGCTGTGCAAACACCAGTATTTCCTTTAGGAAATGCAAATCTAAATCCTATTCAAATTCCTGTCTGCATAACCGCCTCTCTCTTTAAATGTCACACTTTTCATCTTCTCTATTATACTTTCACTTAACGGCTCACTCTTGCTCCTGTTTTCTTTCCTCCAGCTGACTCTAGGACAGGAAGATACCCACTTGTCATCTTCTTCCTTCCCCTCGTCTACGTCAAAGTCCTCCTCCTCAGCAGACTCCTCCGAAACTCTGGGGGTTCTGGGATCTCAGGGTTCGATTTCACCCCTGAGTCGCTGGGTGATGCACAGCCGTGGCCGTGCCACCAACACTTCCACAATGGAGCTGCCCTATCGTTCGCCGGTGCCCTTTTCCAAACAGGAATTTTGGGAAATGCTGGGCAGTGATCTCCTCAAATCAGACACGGATGCATCGGGGAACTCACGTGTCAAGCGCCGCCCACCAATCGTCAAAACTGGCAAATTTAAGAAGATGTTCGGCTGGGGCGACTTCTACTCCAACATCAAGACGGTGCGCCTCAACCTGCTTATCACGGGTAAGATAGTGGATCACGGGAATGGCACCTTCAGTGTCTACTTCCGTCACAATTCCACCGGTCAGGGGAACATCTCAGTGAGCCTGGTACCTCCAGTGAAGGCAGTGGAGTTTGACTTGGAGCGCCAGAGCGTGGTCTACCCTAAAGACTCTAAGATTTTCAACTGCCGCGTAGACTATGAGAAGGTGGACCGCAGCAAACGCACCTCGCTCTGCAACTATGACCCCTCCAAGACCTGCTTCCAGGAGCAGACACAAAGCCACGTGTCCTGGATCTGCTCCAAACCCTTTAAGGTCATTTGTATCTACATTTCCTTCTACAGCACAGACTACCGACTGGTGCAGAAGGTCTGCCCAGACTATAATTACCACAACGAGATGCCCTACCTACCCTCAGGCTAGAGCGTCGTGGAGCAATGGACTGGGGCATGGAGGGCTGGTTGGGGGGGAGTTGGTAGGAGCAGTTCTATTACGGATGTGAAGATGAATGCGCAATGCTTATTTGGGAGGGTTTTTTAAAGGACACAGAAGTCCTTATCTAAAGACTCTTCAGAAACTTATCATTGAGCTGATATGGAACACCCCCTCATGACCTGAACATTAAAGGTGGTTCTCTAAAAGGTGAATGTACAGTATTCGATGTGCTGCAGTTGATGTCTTAAAGAACCTCTTAAGCAACCTGGCAAATGTGACCTGCAAAAACATAAATATGCAAAACCAAATGGTCAGGCCCAGGTGCTCAGGGTGGGAGTGTCCACTACATCAGTCTGTGTCCCTGTTTGGCTGCGCTCATCAGTGCCCAGTGTTCTTCTAATTAACACATGGGAACAAGAAAATATAATGGTCACCGCAGGCTGTTATGCAGAGGTGGAAGAGGTTGCTGATTTGGTGTACACTCTTAAAAAATAATGGTTCTTTTTTAAGCATCTGTGGTTCCATGGCATCAGTGGTTCTTTAATATACAAGGAACATTTCCATTGCACAAATGGCTCTTTAGAGTGGAAAAAGGTTCTTTAAATTATTAAAGAAAAAAAAACTTTTAAAGAACAAACCACTGAAAGGTTCTTTGGGGAACCAAAAACTGTGGATCTATGGCATTGCTACAAACCCCCTTTTGAACCTTTACTTTTAAGAGTGTAGCTTGTTTTTCCAAAAACAAACACAGCTAACACAAACTAACACACAAAATTAACACAGCATGCCTCACTGACACTTTTTTCACCTCTGTATATTAAACACAAAAACAGTAAAGGATGACACAAAAAGAAGACTAAAAAGAAAGCCAGTACTGTAAGTGCAGAATGCAAAAGTCTAAGAGCAAAATTACCAGATTTCACAAAAAGATAAAAGCCTCCCCTCCCTAATATCAATGAGAAAGAACGAAAGCAGGACAGAAAGCACTTTAATTAAAAATACAGCACCGAAAAAGAGATGTTGAGTCTGCATTGAGCCCGATCTCTCTATTATTCTGACTGTTAGGGAAGAGCAGAAAATATGTTTTGTTTGGTCAGGATTCCTGACTTTGTGCTGTGATAACTGTTCTGCTGAATGCATGATTGCTTCGTCCTTTTTTGAACATTCCCTTACAGTCAGCCGGTTTATCATTGAGAAAAAAAAGATAAATATTATTATGTTAATTTTGCATAATTTAATCATACTACACTGGGAGAGCTTGCATTACATTCTGAGATTTACCTGGCCAAGGACTTCTCTGGATGTAAATTTACCACATTAGATGAACGGCATTCAAGCTAACCTTTAATGAAGACACTGTTTATTGTGAAGGAAAATCAGTTCAAGTGGATTTAGATAAAACATGCGCAGACCTTTTATGTTACCGGACAAATCAAGACAGAGTGAATGACGGAAGAGGAAAGACAGAGAGGAAGGATGGAAGGTAAAAGACAGCAGTGAGTTATGACGTCTGCAGTGACGAGCAGGTGTACATGACAGAATGAAGAGGAGAATGAGTGAGGATAGGCG